GGATTCAGAGAAAGACGCAGAAGATGGTGATGGGATAGCCTCAATGCTTGGTCTTCAGAGCTATTGGGATGCGACATATTCTGACGAGCTTGAGAATTTCCGCCAGCATGGCCATGCTGGTGAAATTTGGTGCGTTTTGTTGTCATGTTTCTGTTAATATTGCACACAAATTTCCTGATGTTAGTTGGAAAATTCATTTACATGCTTTCAGCCTTTCACTACTTATGCTTGTATAGTCATCACAAAAGAATTGCTCTATTATTTTTTTTTTGAAACCAAATAATTGCTCTATTATGCTATGGTTGTGCTTATTGTGAGTTACCAGTATAGATATTGTCTTGTTATAGTTAGCTATAATATCCTATGATACTGCTAACTGCTCTAAAAACATTCAATCAGATGACTGTATTGTTTGTCGATAGTTTCAAGCCTTTGATTTTTGGTATGTTCAATATTTTTGGTATGCAACTTAAAAAAACAGAGGAAGTATTATTTTTGAACAACAACAAAGTCTTAGACCCAAAATGACTTTCAAAATTATCTATAAATCAATTAATAACAAAAAAATAGATAAAAATTAAGATTTAGGAGCAAAACTCCCTCCAAAAGGTTTCACTGTAGTAGATAGAAATATAATATAGATTCTTCTCCTAACATAAGCTCTAAAGTATCTTTCAAATTTCTCCTGTCTTTGAAAATAGTCTCGACCCCCACCCCACCTCACCCCATTGGTAGATTTTTTGTATGTGAGACAAAATCAATTTCTCATAGGCGAAGATTATTTAGATCGGAGATTTTGGATGCCATATATTTATTTTCTCACTGCTACTTGCTGTCAGGTTTGGACCTGAAGTCATGGATACTGTTGTTTCATGGACAAAGAATTTATGCATTGATATTTCTCGGCGTCGCTTGTTAAATCATGTTGGTGATGACAAGACGGAACATGATGATCATGCAGCTCATGACCTGTCAAGTTGGAGCGTACTTGATCTTGGAACTGGCAACGGTCTGCTTCTACAAGAGCTTGCTAAGCATGGGTATTAATTGCATACTGTTAGTCTCCAACATTTTGCACTACCTAAACTCTAGTTTGATTATCACCCATAGTAATATGTCTATTTGGTTTGATGCTCCTTAATGTTCTTTATGTATGGAAATTGATTGCAATGGGAATGATTCGCAATTATGGGTTTCTGGTTTTTAAATATTTAGAAATTTGACACATTGATTACTGTTGTTTTGATGAATAGGCACTAGTATTTATTATTTGTAATCAAGGATTTGATTAATATGCTCAGAATATTTGGTGGTAAAATATGCTATGGAATTCAATGCTTAATTATAATTTGCTCAAGTATTGGGTTTGATGCTATCTGTGAAAGGAGATAAGCTTATTGATTAGAAATTTGACTATTGGATGTCTACTTCCTGGATGATTGATAGTTGGGGTCTAGCTTGTTCTGCATATCTGTGCAGGTCAATTTGGTTTGGTTACTGGTGTATGCTCTCTCTCATGAGGAAAAATAAATAAAAATTATGTGGGATGATGACATGCTTGTATTTATTTATTTTCCCACTAACTGTGCAAGCTCTATGGGATTAATGTAGTTCCTGGTCTACTATTTTTGCATCTTAATGTATACTGAACGTACAATTACTCATCATTTTTAGAATCTTCTTAAGATATGTTGGGAAATATGAGTTATAAGTTATTAAGTGAGAGCACGGTGATTGTGAGTGGTTTGAAGTTTATTTCTTGTAAAAGCCAAAAGAGAGGAATAAGTGGTGTTTTTAGAGGATTTTTGTTGCTTGTCATATGGAGTGCCATTTTTTATATTTTTAGAATAAAAGCATGCACGCTTGATTCCCCCTCTTGCTAGATTTGCTGACTCTGCCTTTTGTCTGTGTGGTTCAGGTTCTCGAATTTAACTGGCGTTGACTACAGTGAAGGGGCTATAGGCCTTGCTCGTGCTCTTGCTGAGAGGGATGGATTTAATAACATTGCTTTCTCGGTAAATTTCTAATTCAAAATATTTTCATCAGCTGGTTTATTAAATATTTTATGCTTTCAAATAACTTTTGGAAACATAATTAGGATTAGAAGGAGGAGAAATCTGCAACATCTGTTGAGCTTAGCTGTTAGTAGTATGAGAGAGAGAGAGAGAGAGAGAGAGAGAGAGAGTCTTATTTTTTCCTATACTGAGCTAGCAACTCAGTCATACCAATTTAAATACTAGTGTTAATATTGGGATTAAAACTCCCAATCCCACCCTCAATCCCCACTTACCAAACACCCCTTTTGGGTTTATCAAGGTTGAAGGTATATGTGTTTTACTAGTCTTTTATATGTTGTTCTCCATTGTATATGCTGTCTCATGCAGGGCAGGCCTAGTGTACTGTTTGTGTTGAAACTACAGAGCACTTACGCACTTCACAATCCTCCTCTTGTACCCTTTCTCTTTTTGTTTTTGCTTATTTGTCCTTTTTCAAGGAATCTGTGGTTTTGGGGCATCTTCTCTACCTCTCTCCCCTTTTTTGCCTTTTTTGGGGTAGAGGGCTAGATAGTTCAATGTATATTACTCCCTCCATTTCCAAATTTTCGTTACTATGACATTTTGCTGAGATTTCAAATAGAATGGATGAGGAAAGATATGGGGAGCCCACGGTGCCACAATTATAGAAGTTGAAATAGACCAGAAAGGAAATTGTTGAATTAAACTGGAAACAGAAATAGTATGCCTAGGTACCTGTGTAGGTTTTATAAAGTTGGATCACTTATTTTCAGTTTGTCTCAAGTCTCAACATCTTACTTCGATGGTGAGAACTACTCTTGTTTTCTATGCCTGTACGACTGTACCATCATCAATATTATGGTGAACCTTTTAATGATGTTTAGTTCCAAAATATATATGACCTTGCAATGCTCTAGTCTTACTATTTTGTTCAATGTTTTAACCCAGGTTGATGATGTTCTTGATACCAAGTTGGAAAAACAGTTTAAGCTTGTGATGGATAAAGGAACCTTGGATGCCATTGGCCTGCATCCTGATGGCCCTATTAAAAGGTTGGCTTTATTTTTTTAAATCTTCTCAAGAGTTAGAGAGCTGGTGATCAACTGTTAACTTCATAGAGAGTTATTTTTCAATAACCCACTCCTCTCTTTTTGTATACCTTGTCTTCTCAAGAACTGGTGAATGGCTTACATCATATTTTGTTACAGAGTTTTTCTCAAGTAGATCACTGTACTAGTAATCTTGTATCCCATAGTACTGCTAATCCTATGCAGTACATTAGCAATTAGGACATTACAATTATTCAGTTTGTTTTATGTGACACTGACTGAGATTTTTGAGCTACAATTACCCATACTCGCTTTCTTGTTTCAGGCTTATGTACTGGGATTCTGTCGCAAAATTAGTAGCGCCTGGTGGAATACTAGTAAGTTCTGCTTACTATTTTTATTGCCCAGGTTTCTTTTATTTGTCTATAGGAGTATAAACTTATTTCTAGCTCTTGATGGTCCTTGTTGGTAAAAGATTGACCTTGTTTTGAAGATCTCCTGCTTGTTTCTTATTCCATGCTTGATTTCTTTCCATGAAATGTGCAGGTTGTCACATCGTGTAACAGTACTAAAGATGAGTTGATGCAAGAGGTAGAAAGATTTAATCAAAGATCTGCTGTCCAACCAGACACCTCACTAGACCAGGGTGCTCTAACATCTGCTCCTTTCCAATACGTTGACCATATACGATCTTATCCGACATTCATGTTTGGAGGAGTCGAGGGATCACGTGTTGCTACAGTAGCTTTTCTCCGCAACTGAAGATCAGTAGATTTTTAATATCAGCCTATGTTTCATCTAACTTAATATTATTATATGGTTCAAGTTTGTGGGTGGCAAAATATTGACTGTAAATGAAAGTGCCTGCGAATTGATTGAAGTTGTTTACAATTCAATGGTTGAAACATTTTCGAGTTAACAACTTCGCTTGTGGATCGTCAAATTTAACACAAGGGAAGTCTAATGTTGTAAAAAGCATGCCCTGTAAATTGAACCTGTTGGATTCCATTTATTATTTGTTCTAAATTGCGATTATCAAAGAGGGTGAATTTGTCTCTCTATCTCCCTTACTTTCACATATATGTGCAGTTCACAACTTCGAAATACTAGGTTTGTGCAGTTGTGCTAAAATGAGACTACGTCAAGCAACCTCTTGTGCTGTAGTGTTCACAGAAATAATTTCTTAGGCCAGGAAAATTGTTTGCCTAGTGGATAAAATGTTACCAGTTAAACTGTTCAAGTCAAGAATTAAGTGTGTTCTGCCCAAACAAATTGAGTTTAAAGAGTGCAAGGGTTACTTTCGAGTTTAGTAAAATGATACGTAAGGGCATCCACAATAAGAGGTTTGTTATTGGATTTGTGGAAACTTTTTTGAGGTTTGTTGACAAACCTTTTATTGTGGGAAAAGCAAAATAAGGAACAGGTTTCGGTTCATTTGCTCCAAATGGCCCACTTTCTCCTTTTTTTTTTTTTAAAAAAAATAAATCTTGTTAGGGCTTATTTTATTGTTTAGATAAATTTAATGAGTTGTAAGTAGATCCCATATACCTTTGAAGAGGTTTATTTATTGTTGATGAAAGGTTTGTCAAGTGTGGGGTTTGTATGATGATGATGTGGCAAGTAAACAAACCTATTGCTCATGCCCTAATATTTACTTAGTAGTATAAGAACGAGCAAACTCTCCATAATATACTAATGTACTGTCCTGCAGGACATCGTTCAAAGAAAACCTACTACCATATGAATGTCTCAAATCACCCTCTCTTAGGGGAAAGACAAGCTGCCATATAGACGCGAGCATGAGACAAAAAATTAGAAAAATCTCAACACAATCCATTAAGTTTGAAGTTTTCTTTCGCAATTATAAATGCCTTTGTGCGTAAACTAAAGCAGTACACAAACAATACATGAGCTCACACTTAAGTAGATCTGTATGTAAAGCTCTCAATGACTCAATTCAATAATAACTAGATTAGTCCAGGAATAGTGTAATTACTCTACTGCATATAAGAATGTTCCACATCAGAAAAATAACCATGGAACTAAGAGAAATTACGATTGAAGCATCAGCACATAATTGTGCAGTGCAGTTCAGTCAATTGTGAAGTCTTATTCTAAGTAAAAACAACAGAGCATTACATTTTATCTTAAAGAGATCGAGTAACAATGATCAATATAGAAAAGCTGCAGTGTGTTCTCATTTAAGTAGAAGCTGGTTCCTCAGAAGCAGCATTTTCTCCATCTACAACAACAAAAAATGGAACATGAAAATTCAGCTCAGTACAGAACCTATGTACAAACAACATAGCATCAGTAATAAGAGAAAGGTTTTTAATGTAGCACTTACCTTCACCATCTGTTGGAGCACAAGGAGATTTACGGTACCGTGTTTGTTGCTGAGTAGGCTGCATAGACAGAGACAATATGAGGTATCACCATCATCCAGATTACTAATCACTTGTTAGTTTGAATAGACAGCTATAGTGACAATCATTTTGAGGAGGGAATACAGCGAACAAAGAAGCAAGCAGAATTTCAAGGTCACTAAGCAACAAGATATACAAAAGGCATCTAACATAAGATTAAGCACTCAGCCGGGTTAGCTGATTTCTCAAAGTAACTAGACTACAGCCAAAATAGTAGCACCCCTTATCAAGAAGTAATTAGGTTTTAAGCACATAAGATCCTTAAAGAATAGACTACAGCCTATACTTCAATACTATCAAACAGACCGTAGTCAATAGTTCCCCAAATTAGTTTGCTGCTAAAAATATAATCGATGATCCAAATGCTACAGGAACCATCTCAAAGTTCAGGATAATTACAATGCAAGGCTTTCAATTAGCTGGCAGATGTTTGGTTCAAAAGAAGCAAGTATAGCAATTTTAACTTGATAAAGTAAGAAGATAACTAGAATTTCATACGTTGTAAAGCACACAACGAACAAGCAACAACAAGAATAAAATAAAATAATAAGGATATCAATGTCAGGTCAGCAATATTTGATAACATTGTTAGCCTGGTATGTAGTGTACATGACTAAAATTTCAAAACCAAAATCTGGCTCAAGTTCCTTAGGGTACCACATAGAGATTAGCTCAATGTTCTTAGGGTGCTGCAAAGGATAAGTAACAGCTAACAGCAACAAAGAAACAGCACAAATCATTCATATTAATACTGTAAGAATTTCACATAATTGCATTAGGGATTTCACAAGGTGAAGTTTGACAAATACCTGCAGCTTAGGCCGAAGTGCCTCAAGAGGCCCTTTAGGCTTTTCTACGCCTTGCTGTGACACCAAACAAAAAAAAAGCATTAACACGGTTTTGGAAGTCAGAACATAAGATCTTTGTATGAAACTAAAAAGCTAGTTAATGGGACATATTAAAGTGCAAGAAGGTACCTTCCCAAGAGCCCAATCGGCCGAATCAAAGTATGCCCTCTCATGATCCTGGGATTAAATTAAAGCTTCAGTTCATCTATTAATCCACCACATTGATATTAAGGGATTCCCATATTCCAAATGACATGTTCATACCTTGGAGATGAGTGGTGGTTTCTTAGGTACAATTCCTCCATACTTTTTCTTAAGCGTTGCTTCCTGTAAGTTCAGATAATTTTCAAAAAAATCAACATTTTACAACTCAAAAAATCAAACCCATTTATTTGATCTTCAATAAATTGAAGATAATGTAAAATAATAATGAAAATTTAAAAACCCATCAAGAAAATGGGCTCAGAGAACCTGCTCTTGAGTAGATGGCATTGACCTAGAACCATCTTCTTCCATTTTTTCTTACTCCTTGATATCTTCTGCTGCTGAAATTTCAATCACAACCCATATAAATACAAGATCAAACAAATTCTGAGAAAATTTATAACAGTAACAATTACACCATCAATAATACCAAAATTAAAAACAATCACCATATAATAATGTGTTCTTGAAATGGATCAAACCAAAAACAAAGCTCAGGATAGCAAGATCACAATGAAATCCAATTGGGTGAAATTTCTAACAATTGCACAAACCCTAATCTAACTTGATTTAAAATTACCCAGAAATGAATTATACAAGAAGAAGGTACATCTGAAAAAATTGAATGCAGAAAAATGAAAGAAAGTACCTGGGGTTTTCAAATTCAATGTTCTTGCCCTGTCCAAAAAGCTATGGCGCCCTCAGCAGCAAATCTTTTGTATCTATCTATCTCTCTTATGTAAAACCTCTGTTTATTTTTTTTGTCTTTTCCTTTTTTTTTTTTTTTTTTTTTTTTTTTTTTTTTGAGAAAAAGGTGAAGTTATCTTTTATTTTTGTAGATCTTCTGACAATAAATAATTTTTTTTTTTTTGAGGATATAAAATTATTAATTATTGACTTGCTGATGAAATGCAATGGATCTTATTTCGAATTTGATTTTTTTATTTTAATATTTGACACAATCGTTTTCGCCTAAAAAAAAAGGTGAGTCGTCATATGAACTATCTTTAAAAATGACTCACAAAATTATATCCATCTTACCACATGATATTTGTTTTAGGGTACACTTAATTATATACGCTAAGTTTAATGTAAATTTACTCCATTTTGATTTATTATTAAGTAAATTGAGACAAAAAGTAACAGACGTTAGTTCATGCCGTATATTGTTAAAAGTTAACTCAAGTATATAACCTTAGTATTGAAACTTTGAAAGTTATTGGTCAAACACTCAAGCCCCTGTTTCCAAAAAGTGGTGGGAGCACTCCAAATTCAATAGAGCACGTTTGAATATTACATTATCCTTGTTGTTGCTCTTTGATTTGTTGATTAAAAAAAGTGAAATAGAAGATTGATTTCTAGTTGAAATAAAAGAAAGAGAAAAAAAAAAATAAAAAAAATTGGTTGCATACATAAATCAAAACAAATTAGGATTGTCCAAACTTGAAATCATGAAAGGATCATTAAAAATACAGCCTTGTGGTTAGTTACACAAAACGTCAACTTGGATCCTGTTGGAAAATCCACAAATCATTTTCTACTCGGATTGAAATCATTTAGTAGGAAACCATAAGTGATTCTCTTCTTGGATCCTGTTGGAAAATCCGATGGTAGCTAGTCGGCTAGTCCTACTTATATAACAATTGAACAATAGCAGTTATGTAAAGATGAAGAACAAAGGACCAAATTAAGCCAGAAATGATGCGAGTAATGGAACAAAGATCATCAGTAAATAATATCACTGATTTAATCGTCCAAACTTCAATTTCACCATCAAAATCGGCACTCAGTAGCTTAAGCAATTCTCAATCAGATAACTAGAGTATTGTATTGGTTGTATACCTGTAAAAGCATAGACATAGATCTGAAAATATAATAAAGCATGAAGCTCGAGTACCAAACTTTCAATTGCTATCTTCAACTGCATCTGCATAAGTCATGCATTCTTTCAGCCCTCAAATGCTGATCAATCAACTGTTCTTGCTGCAGATGCTTTCAATTCAAGCACATTCAGTGACCTTGCCAGATGCATCACTCTAACTTTTAACTTGATTTAGGCCGTGACCACGACACTTCTTTGCTTGTTGCATTTTAAAAAAAAGACCAAGTTTGCTAAAGCTCAAGATAAACAGTTTGAAACATCAGCAACACACATCGTGCTTGTTAGTCGGATGAGTTCCTTGGTCTCTTCATTTAACAAAACCTTGTCCTCTGTCATCCTTTCTTCAATTATAGGTGGCATCTTCCCAGCACTTGCATAAGTTCGGAGCAACATGTTGTAGATCTCTGTTGTTACATACCCAGCATTACGAAGCACTGTAAGCATACCTTCAGCTCCCTTGATACTCTCCTGTTCCTCTAAAAGCTTGTAAATCTCATGGATGAATGTCAAATTGGGTTCCCATTTCTTGACACTGGTGACGGCTTTTTTGAAACAGTCAAGAACTTGTTCTACCTGCTTCAGTTTAAGATAACCACTAGTGAGAAGCTCCCAAGTGGTGTAACTAGGCTTAATGCCTTTTTGTGTAAATCGATCAAAAAATTCAGTAGCTTTTTCCATCTGGTTTGCGTTGATGTAGGCTCCAATGAGTAAATTAGGGACACGGGAGTCGCCACTTGTCGAAACTGACTCCCACTCATCGTAAAATTTCTCAGCATCTTTCAGTTCCCCGAGCTTTATGAGGGAAGCTATTATGCAGGTGTATTCTGAATCATTCAATTTGCGGAACACTGACTTCATCTTCTTCCATGTATTATAGACTTCATTTTTCTTTCCTAAATTTGTATACAAACTGATAAGAGAAGAATATGCAGAACGATTTTTGCGGGATATCCTGCTCTCCATTTCCTTCAAAGAACACTCAGCTTTGTCATTCATTCCCTTCTTAGTATACAAACTGGTCAGTATGCTAAATGTCATCCAATCAAGTTCAATTTTGGCCTTCTTCATTTCAAGGAAAACATTTTCTGCAGTTTTAATATCGTTCTGAAACTGACATGTGGTTAACCACAAATTGTATGAGACAATATCTGGTTTTGTATTTTTTTTCAATTCTTTCATCAGCTCAGGAATCTTCTCCAATTTTCCAATCTCCTTGTACATGGACATCATGTGATTATAAGGAAGGGGGGAGCTCACATAACTGCATTCTGCCATCTTAACCATCAGTGCCTCAGCTTTATCATAGGCACGATGCTGTACATAGGTGTGCAACAGTGCAGAAAGTGTAGGTTCAGCTCTCATTGTTTCAGGTATATCTTCAAAAAACTTCTCAGCACTGTCCAAGCCGCGGATTTTAGCAATCAAATCCAAGTGAACAGCATAATCTCCACACAACAGCTTGATATCTTCTTGAGTTCTCATCCATTCACTAATCTAAGCAATTAAATGAATTAAAACTCTAAATAATATAGCATCATATCTTCAAATACACGAAAAATTTCTGTTCATGAAATAATGCTTGTAAGTCCTAAGCATATACAACACCACAAGCTGACGTTAAAATTTAGTCACCACTTCTCTACAGGTTATACATTTATACAATCACCTCATTTCGTCTCATAAATCTAATGTTCCATCACAAACAGGACACAGCTCACTATAATCAGAAAGCAACAAGTGCTCTTCCTAAAAATCTCTAGGGAGTGCAGCATTCCTGAATCCTGATAATCAACAGATTGGGGTCAATTTTCTCTAGCTATTGTCTATTCATCAAAGCATCAAACAACTTAATTGACAAGTTAATCCACTCTTTCACTACTGCTAATCCAAATTGACCCGTCTATTACCCCTTTTCGACCCTCACTACCAATTCCTACACGAAACCGGTGCTCCTAGGTGTTTGTAGGATTGTGATTGTTCACGAAAACGTAATCCTCGTCAAATAAGATCATAGGATTTAGAAAAACAATATCAAATTCTAGCAATGATGATGCTAGATTGGCATAACCCCAAATGTATCAATTTATCACAGATTAATATGACAAAATATTAAAACTTGCATATATTTCCAAGTGTTTACTTCATCCAAATGCTCAATCAATGTCTCAATGCTATATTAACATACAAATTCCAAGCAATTTCCAATCTAGCACATATAAAATACAACCATAAGTCATTTTAACAAATATAACTAATTTCAACTTTAAAATAAAAAACCCAAAACACAAAATCATATTTTTTTTTTAAAACCCTACATAAACCCTAATATGAAAAGAGAGAAAGAGAGAGAGAGATAAACCTCAAGGGCATGTTTGAAGCGCCTGAGTTTACGAAGCTCACGAACAATACGATTAAGCTCATACTTGCGAACAGTATGACCTTCCTCTTTCCATTGACGAATAGTGACCACTGCGCTGCGTTTTGGGTGTATCAGTGCGAGCAGCCTTCTTCCCAGTGTATCTCTGCCTCCACTTGAAGAAGAAGAAGAGGTTGTTGGGGTGGTTTTCTTGCCGGAAGATTCCGACGTCAAAGTCTCTGCTGCCGGGGTTACGGTGGTTTTCTTGCCGGAGGATTCCGCCGGTAAAGCCTCTGCCGCCGCTGAAAAACGGCGGGCGGCAGAAATGGCGGCTGCTCCGATGCGGCGTTGTAGCATTTTTAATACTTCAGCAAAGAGAGTTTTAAGTTTTGGCCTTTTGGGTGACTAAAATTTGTTCTGATGTAGTAGATTAGTGAGCCTTTTGTTTAATCCAAATTGGGTTCAACCTTTTTCTTTATGTGGTATCGGGTTTTTGGTTGTAGTCTTTATACTTATAGTAGATTGACATGTTTTTTTCATTTGATTTTTACATAGGGTTTAAGTCATAAGATATACGGTATAAAATTTGACAATTATAGATTGGATTAGATTTGATTTTAGATTGAGTTGATATTGTATCTGATAACCAACCATGAATGAGCATGACTGTACTATTTGAAGTTTCGAACTTACTTAGGGAGTTAGGGGTGCCAATAAAGGCAAACTATAAGCCCCCTAAAATTAGAAAGAGAAAAAAGGGCTCGTTCTCATACGATTATTTTCTATTCAGTTTAGTTCTAATAAGTTCAGTTCATTTCAGTACAGCTCAGTTCAGTCCATGAGAACAGGCCCATAGATTAGAAGCCGCCTCCTCCCAATTACGAACATGGGAAGGTGAAGTCGATAATTAAAGCCCAATTCTCTTTATGAATAGCAGCCTATGTATCAATGTAAAGCGATTGCCTATGAAGAATGTATTCTAGTCATACATATGGATTATTGAGCCCTCTCACACATTCCCTTTTTCTAACCTCCGCCTATGATTAGGAAAATACTTATATTGTCCCGGATTTTCAAGTCGGGTCATTCTCGGGTTCAAGTCGGGTTCGATTCAAGTCAATAATTTCATGTTGGGTCATTTCCGGATTCAAGTCAGTTTATGTTCAAGTCAATAATTTGCAGGTTACAATCAGTTTAGGTCATTTCCAAGTCAGGTCATATTCGGACTCAACTAACTATAAACAGATAATTATCATTTTTATCAAGCTAGTTATTTCCTTTAACAATAATATATATGGCAATATACTAGGGAACTATAGTCTATAATTTAGGAAGATAATTATTTCCTTTGACCATACAACAGATATATACTATATTTAACTCTTATATTTGAGGATGATGCTCCTTTCTTTTGTTGGCCTGGACCGACTTGGTCTCCCAAGACAAAATGCTTTAATCAACAATAATAAGGTGGTCTAAATTGCATTTAAGGTGATTTGAAATCGGGTCAGGAACAATTTGGGTTGAATTTAGGTCAGGTCAATAACAAGTCGTGTTAATTTCGAGTCGGGTTAGTAATAGATCGGTTTGAATTTTTGGGTTGGGTAAGTAATAGGTTTGGTAAAATTCGAGTCGGGTCAATAACAAGTCGGGTTGAATTTGGGTCAGGTCAATAACAAGTCGGGTTGATTTCGGGTCGGGTTTGTAACAGGTTAGGTTAAATTCGGGTTGGGTGAGGAACGGGTTGGGTTGAATTCAGGTCAGGTTCGTAACAAGTCGGGTTAAATTTGGGTTTTGACGGGTTAAAACGGGTTTGGGTCAATTTCGGTTCAAGTCGGGTTCGGTGTAAGTTAATTAAATTGGCCATTGTAAAAACCGATAAATCGGTGCAAGTTGTAAACCGGTAAATTGGCCGTTTAAAAGCAAACTGAATGGTTCCACACACCCAATTGGACTCCCGAAAGGTATTAGAAACCATGGTAAACATTTCGGAAATTTTTAATTTCGGGCGAAAAAAAGTCAAAAAAATTCCAAAATTGAAGGCTAACATCCACGTTTTTTAAGAAATTTTGAAGGTTTCGGGGCTCGGTGTCGAAAAGTCTTGAAATTCTATGGGATACATCTCGAGGTCATATGATGCCGTTTGGAACCATATATGATCATTATTTGTTGTCATAAATGTTTGTGATATGCTTGAATTAATGAAATCGGTACAAGTTGTAAACCCGGTAAATTGGTCGTTTAAAGGCAAATTGGATGGTTCCACCCACCCAATGGGACTCCCAGACGATATTAGGGACCATGGTAAACATTTCGGCAATTTTTATTTCTGGGCGAAAAAAAAGTCAAAAATTTCAAAATTGAAGGCTAATATCCACACTTTTTGAGAAATTTTGGAGGATTCGGGGCCCGGTGTCGAAAAGACTTGAAATTCTAAGCGATACATCTCGGGGCCATTTAATGTCGTTTGGAACCATATATGATCATTATTTGTTGTCATAAATGTTCGTAGTAGGCTTGAGTTAATGAAATCGGTGCAAGTTATAAACCGGTAAATTGGACGTTTAAAGGCAAAGTGGATGGTTCCACCCACCTAATTGGACTCCCGAAGGGTATTAGGGACCATGGTAAACATTTCGGCAATTATTATTTCCGGGCGAAAAAAGTCTAAACATTCCAAAATTAAGGGCTAACCCAGTGTATTAGTGCGAGCAGCCTTCTTCCCAGTATGTTTGCCCCCACCTGGAGAAGAAGAGGTTGTTGGGGTGGTTTTCTTGCCGGAAGATTCCGACGTCAAAGCCTCTGCTACTGGGGTTACGGTGGTTTTCTTGCCGAAAGATTCCGCCGATAAAGCCTTAGCCGTCGTTGAAAAACGATGGGCGGCGAAAATGGCGGCTGCTCCGATGCGGCGTTGTAGCATTTTCAATACTTCAGCAAAGAGAGGTTTAAGTTTTGGGTAACTAAAATTTGTTATGATTTAGTAGACTAGTGAGCTTTTTGTTTGGGTTCTGCCTTTTTCTTTATATGGTATCGGTTTTTTGGTTGTAGCCTTTATACTCGTAGTGTATTGATATGTTTTCTTCATTTGATTTTTACATAAGGTTTAAGTCATAACATATACGGTATAAAATGCGACAATTATAGATTGGATTGGATTTGATTTAGACCGAGTTGATATTGTATCTGATAACCAACCATGTATGAGTATAACTTGCACTATGACCACTATCCGAAGTTCCAAACTTAAGGGGTACCCATTAAGGAAAATTATAAGCCTCCTAAAATTAGAAAGAGACATAGATTAGAAGCCGCCTCCTCCCAATTACGAACAAAGGAAAGTGAAGTCGAGAGTTAAACCCCAATTTTCTTTACGAGCAATAGCCTATGTATCACATGTGAAGCGATTGCCTATGAAGAATTTATTCTAGTCACACATGTGGATTATTGAGCCCTCACACTTCACACACATCCCCCTTTTTTCTAATTTCCGCGTATGATTAGAAAAATACTTATCTTGTCCCTACGTATGTTAGAATTTATAGACGCCCTATGCATGATTAGCGTGAATGCTAATTTCAACCACTCTTGGTGGTTTACCATCCCGCTAGCTAGCTAGATCAATGACTTACTACAATATAAGGTATCATGCAATGTTGAAGAATTAGGGGCAGGGGTGTGTTGGAGTTGTACAATTGCCAAAGCAACATTTGTGCTGGACTGCTTGTACTTTGCATGTTGAACCTTTTCCAACCTGATTTTTGGATTTTCCTAACCATTAAAGGCCTGAGGTTAAAGAGCTTCTTATAAATGAGTTTATATACAGATACTGAGATAATACTATTTACATTTGCTGAACGCGAGATACAATTTCCCTCTAATGAAGTCATATGCTGAAGAAATGACATCCTTCTTTCCTCAATGACTTCCACAAGACCACAACAGCACTTTTGACAACCCCATTCATGCTTTATCCAAGAATATGTGCATTCGGTTTGACAAATATCATTCATTTGATTTGACATTGGTCAGGCGCTTATGAATGTTATGATGAATGAGAAATTGCCAGTGAGGGTCTGCACTTTCAGATGACGATCATCATGAAAATTACTGAATGCGGATAACATGAGCTGAAATCTGTGGCTGTGCTAGCTCATTTTCTTCATCTGATGAAGCGTGAGAAAATGCTGCAGGTGTCTGGTAGGGTAAAAGAGGAAAAATATTATTACATCGTGAAGAGTATGTGCAATCTTCTTATCGCTCACAGATTCTACATGGCAAAAGAAGTGCTGAAATGATCGATGGCCAAAGAAGTGATCATATAATCTTTCTACTAAGGCATCATGAATTAGATTTGAAACAAAACAATATAAGATTGCAACGAAATGTTTCAAATTTGAAGTACAATCTAAAGCAGTTGAGGGAAAAAAAGGGAAATGGACAAACTCCAGATTATATTCCATACGAGTGAAAGAAGGCAAAGCTTTCACATCTGAAAGACTGAAGAAGTGATTTCATACTTCACTGACCTGTCGGTGTCTCCGATGATGGCGTATAATACTGCATGCTTTAAGCATGACAAACATCGGCAGAAGAATAGCAATGGTCCTCAGCATCAATAACTGCAAGTAGTTTAAAAATCTGAATGTTATACTGACATATCCACACCACCACCATGGTAAAAGGGCTGAAGTAAGAAGGTAACTCACTGTGTATAAGGTAAAAGAGTATTCTCCAGCACCACTATATACAATTGGAAGAGTATGGCGTAGAACAACCAAAATCATAAACTGCTTACAAAGAAACAAAAGCAAAATCAGTCATCCTCAATGCATGAAATGATTGTCATTCTTCCGTGTAGACAAAAACTACATGAAGAAAGGTGTGTAAATATTCTCCGTAACACTGCATTCCTCTACCCACTGAGTATGGTGGCAGAAGAAAAGATAAAAAATTTCATTTGCACTGGAGATAACTGTATTGACATTTTTTAACTCGTGTGATAACAGAAGTATGCTTACAATTCAAGCAAGTTTAGATATGCAAAAACCAAGCAAGGAGAAAGAGAGATTACTATGACTGTAATGATCCGACAACAAATTATGCTTGCAGTGGGAGCTGTATAGTCATCAAGTCTATGATCGAAGAAATTCTGTGCAGCAATTATTGATGGATGATTATATTGATTACTTGTTGCAAATTCCCAAGGTTCCCTACAGAAGTTAGCAGAAATATTAAATTTACTACTAGTTGCTTTGCACCAGCAATTCTGCTCTTTCAGAGGATAATCTCAGAGATACAGGAACATCATTAATATAGCAATATTAATGTTTCTCAGAAACAATAAACAAGACCTCTTGGCATGTACTTATATAGAGGAAAGAGGTACCTCAAACGCACGGGAATGACAGCAAAGGGCAATCTAGGGGGTGGCGCAGTATATCCAGGCTTATATGGCTGCAACCTCATAAAATTGAAGAGACTTAATACTAAATACAGTGGACAGTTAACCAAAAGACTAGACCACAAAGAAATAATTGGAGAAGATTAGAGCGAACCTGCAAGCAAATCTCACAGACAGTGTCACCCTTTTGATTGCACCACATTTGTACACATCTACGGTGAGCATACTGCAATTATTGAGACATTATGGTTCGATTGGAAGATCTAAACACATAAATTACACAAGCATATAAAGCATTATACAAAAATCAAAACACAAGAACACCATATATTGACCATGATCAAACACACAAATTTCCATATCAGAACATTTTTGTAAACAAGGCAATACAAACACCTTCACAGCTTCAGTCATACACAAGTAACAAGACAAATGATCAAATCAAAATTCAATTGAACACACCAACAATCAACTATAACATGACATTATACCGACCTTCAAGCTACCACAACAAGCACATGGTGCTTCCATGTTCGACGATTCATCTTCATCATGGCAAATCCTACACTGAGCTAATTTTCTAGGGAATGACCCATCATTTGCATCCATCCTATCAAATGAAAAACTTTTCTCCATACCTACAATTCTTGTCTTGTTTACACTTTTTACTTTGATAGGAAATACTAGCTAGTTCATTAATCAACAGACAAAATGTCCATATGTACATCCAGTGAAATCTCCAAGGAAAATGTTTTTCCCAAACTTGTTCAACACCAAGGTACTTTCACAACTAAATCTCAATCCACAATAATCACAATAATCAAGTAAGTAATCTTGACACCCAAAATGTCTTCTCCATCAACAATCTCCCAAACTCATAAGCAAATCCCTGCATTAAATTTACAACATCATATCAGCAAGAAATAAATGGGCAAATCAACAACAAAACACTCCCATAAAAGTTAATTCTTCCAAAAATATGACACGAAAATCAATAAATAAGAGATAGTTAATTTTTCGTACAATATAATGTTCAAAAAACATATGTTGGAATTACAAGGAACCCATGTCAGAAACAAAGCTACTAATACAACTCATTCACTTGATTAATCTCATAATCCAAAATTTCTGGGAAACAGGAATAAAAACAGAACAAACCCAGAAAAAAAAATCAAAGAACCCACCTTTGAAATTGATTGATGAAGAAGGAAGGAGAAGATTAATGGCATGCAAGGGCATATTAAAGGGAGGGGAGAGAGAGAATAAGACTTACAAGCGATGATTTCTTGAAATAGTTATCTTTAAATTATGTTAAACAAACCAAAAAAGCAAGGTATTATTTGGATTTTATTATCTATACTCCGTCTTTCCTTAAATAGTAGTTTTCTTTTCTTTGCCCAGAAATTACTATTCCTACAATCTTCATCTTCTTCTTCGTGTTGTTCTTGTTATTATGTTAAATAAGAGTGTACAAAAACCAGAAGAAAGGAAAAAAAGGAAGGCATTATTCGAGTAACGAATCTTTCTATAATTGTGTTACTGCAATTGTTTTCTGAATAAAGTTGGATTTAAAGCAACGGAATTTAGGGGAATTATGTAATAACAGAATTTGTGATTGGAATTCTCATTGCGTACGATTCCAAGCCTGTCAACAAGTGTGGTGTGGAGTATGTGGACGGTTTGCTTCCTCCAATTTTTGGGCTTTCATTTGTTTGGATCTCGTCTTTTAAGGTCAATTAGCCCAATTCGATTCGAGTTGCTCTATCCCTTCGAAAATAATAATCACATATTTATATATTGTTCAGCTGGTTGATATATTGATTGTATTAATTGGTTTGACATTTGACTAGCTCGTTATATTAGATGATTTGACTAGCTGGATGTAAATAGTTGATTGTGTCAAAGTGTTTGATAAATACCTGTTTATAAAAAAGCTTTTTGACCCTAAAAAGCTCTTTTAACAAGCTATTTACCAAACAACAAAAGTAGTTTTTAAAAATGGTCAAACCTCTAATAGTGTTCAATAAATTAAAAGTTTTTCAAAAATCTCTTTATCAAACAAGGCCTTTAACTACATTTGTTAAAATGATATGAGTATAACTAGCTTAGCTCGCATTTAGTTGAAGTTGATGGTTGGTTGAACGGAGTTGAAATTACTAGTACAATGACATGCATATAAATGTGGCTTGTTATTACTCTAACATATACTAAAATATGTGGACGTCTGTAACACCCCGACCCCAAACAAATCAGGGAGGGGCCTATTGTCACGAAATGCGCATCGAGGGCCAACAACTGTCCCCACAAACCAACACAAGTCCTTCCGGCGCATTTTGTCCTCACTCATGCGCACCCCGAGAAAAGGGTCTGGATTAATTATCCACGGCCAGCACGCTGTCGCAGGATTGCTCTGATACCATTTGTAACACCCCGACCCCAAACAAATTAGGGAGGAGCCTATTGTCATGAAATGCGCATCGAGGGCCAACAACTGTCCCCACAAACCAACACAAGTCCTTCTGGCGCATTTTGTCCTCACTCATGCGCACCCCAAGAAAACTTCCCAGCCAAGCACGCTTAACTATGGAGTATCTTAGCAAATGAGCTCCCTAAAAGGAAGATGCATTGTTGATATGAGTAGTATATCAAACTCTTTTTAAAGCAATCATAAGGGGTATTACAATGTCAGTTAGATTAGTTGGTTAAAATCTTGAAAGATTATATCTAAAACCATGATCAAATTCAATTTACATTAGTTTTACAGACTTCAAAGATTTAATAAAAATTAGCTACAGTATAGTTTGACTTATAACATCAAATTGAGGAAATATAATCTTCTTTATTCCAATAAAAGAAGATCAACAAAAAATCATGGATATTTATAAAAGCAAATCATGTTTAGTTGCTCAACACTCACAAAAGCAATACACATTGATTGAATACATCCATAATGAAGGTTTTGTTTTGTGCGCTTCTCCCTTTTTCCAAAATGATTTGGAATCGTCATTTTCAAGCCAAATCTCATGTGACAAATCATATAAATTAGTATGTTTTTACAACAAAAGTCATCACTTACAACCTGTAAGAGATGAGATATTAGAGATATCGAAAGTTATATCACATCAATATATTTTCAATATCTCTGATCTCCCATGCATATCTCTAACAAAAACTGAATAACCCTTAAATTAGCGAAGACATGAGAAGAAACTTAAAAAACACGAAAATATACACAGAAATTGAAACAACAGCAAGTACATGCTGCCAGAACAAAAGCGCTGAGGCTTCTTGCACTGCAAAACCCCTTAAGCTAGCAATAGCACCAAGTAATATAGCACTAGGTGTAACATAATGCAGCAAAATCACAAACCTATACATTTGATCACCTTCAACCAATAGACCTAACTTATCAGCCAAAACAAGCACTCCAATCCCGGCTAAAGGATGCACCAAGAGCCTCGTGACAATGATCCCCACAGTAGATTTTATACCGAGCCTAAACTCCTCTGGACCCTCGGCTAGCATCCCACCCAACACAAGCATAGCAAAGGGCATCATTGCATTAGCCATGAATTGAAAACTATCGGTGATGAAAGAAAGAGGGGCATCCTCACCAAAAACAAACCCTTTAAGCTCAGGCACCATACCAATAATTATGGCTAAGAAAGAAGCAACTATTGGAGGGCTAAGAATGTGCTTAATTGGTGTTTGTTCTGCTACAATCCTGATTTTTCTTACCACTTTTGGCTCTGGAAAACACCTACTTGATTTAAGATCATCATTTTCTTGGCCTTCTTCAAGTGTCCCTAACTCGGGTAGTGATCTAAGGGAATCAAACAATAAAGAATTAAAGATTCGAGCAACAAAGGGTGTCTTAGAGTAATCAATTTCTTTATCATCCATCCCTGGCCACTCTGCATCATGAAGAAGTGGCATACTTAGCTCATTATCATCGCGAATTATCGTATCATATTCCTCATCTTGAATCTCATCATCAAAATCATTTTCTTCCACAACCTTATAGTAGTCTAAAGGAGGCTCCATCATATGATAAACAAAGGTATAAACAAGAGCAACAGCCACCCATTGAGCAAAAGAAGCATAAGCCACACCATTCTTTTCACAATCTTTTCCAAAGGGATGATTCTTTGAATGACAAACCGAGGTTATAATAGCTAAAGGAAGATTTCCCATGTTCCCTAACGCGGTCATGATCACAGTAAACCGGACATATTCAGCTGGAGGGCGGCATATGATGGTCACAAGGTACCCTAAGAACGAGCCTATAACGATTGAGAGAACGACATTTAAAGGGATGAACCACCAAAGGGTGAAGTTCTTAAAGGTGATAGATTGGCCTAAATTGGTGAAAATCAAACAGGGCAAAAACAGGACAAATACAAGCTTGCTTAGGAGCTTAAATGTAGCTCTTGGTACAAGTTTGGCTTTCGGATGTGCTAAAAGAACACCAATTAAGGTTAAGGTGATAAGCTTTAGTAATGGTATTATAGCACTATACAAACTCTCATTCAAAGAAAACAATGATTCAGCCATCTTAGAAATTGTTACAAAAATTTCAAAACGACCAAGTTTCCTAAAAAAAGAGAATTTTAAAGGAAGAACAAGCAATATAAGTATCAGATTATCAGGGCATACATGCTTAGCAAGCTAAGCTAAGGTTGAAGATGATAATAGCAACATTTTTAAGTCAAATGGAATTAAAGTCTTTCTGAATTAAAAGGAAATGGACAACAAGTAACATTTTATGGACTGCTTCAAATTAAAGTAGCAGAGAAATATTCCTAAGGCAACCTTGAAAAGGCTTAGGAATGATAGGACAAATGCATTAAAAAGGACTTTTAAGCTAAAAGAATTAAGAGGAGCTTCCTTTATAATCAATAATTAATAATATAATCATATTGTCTAACCAATCATCACCTCATAAGGTCATAAGTAAGAATATACAACACAGTTTTAAGTAAAAACCTCTATATATAGTTGGATCATTATCATTTTCAATTCTTTTCATCACTCAATTTTAATAAGGATATAATGGTTAAACCAATTACGAACTTTACGTATATTTTTTTTTTCTTTCTAAAGCACGTATATTATTTTTAATATGAAATATTTTTTCCAAATATCTTCATGTGATTTGATTGCAATTTGCAAACGGGCATGTACTAGTATTTTATTGTAAAATACTAATAATTCGAAATTTGAAAGTTCTATGGAGTAATTGATTTGTACGATAATGGTGGTGCAAGTGTAATTGTATTTTTAGCAGTATGCTGTAGATGTGAATACGTGGCATTTTTATGAGTTTTTCTTAAACAATCAGATTTATTTATCACCATTAGTTACTGGAACTTGGCTAATTAGCTGTGGATTATTATTAATTAGGTTATCCCCGTGCGTTGCTCGGTTGGAGTTAATCTTCATATTTTGTTGTATTACATTGCATAAAAAGTTTAAAATTGATATACGAATAATTTACATTTAAGGAAGTAAAAATTTGAAATCACGATCAAATATCAAACAATTTAGGTATGTGAAATTATAATTTATGAGAAAAACTTGCTTAATTGAAATTTATATAGACAATTTTTGCATTGAAGTCAAAATTGTAGATTAAAAAAATTTAATAATTGATGACATCACACATAAAATTGGAGGGAAAAAATTTAATGTGAGAATGACACGTAAGATAGTTTGAGGGTTGATGATATTAGAACATTTTGTTTTAATAATAGTTAATAGATTAATTAAAAATAAGTCTGTAAATAAAAGGAAAATAGTAGCAAGAAGCAATATGGCTACAACTTCTAGTTGTATGGGCTTGTGGGCTTTGTTCTAGGCCAAGTTATGTTGCTATTTAGCCCAATTCAAAGTCCAAACATTCCAAACAAATGATCAGCCCAATGTCCATATTTTTTTTTATTTTTTATTTTTTTTTGTGTTGTTGTTGTTGTTGTTAAGAGGCCACAATGAGGAGTGATGAAAATCGATTCTCAAATTCTATGATAGCGTAAAGAAAGCTCTAATCACTTGATATATCCTCAATCTCTTTGATTAATTTTGATTAATTTTTATACAGGGTAAATAATATTGCACAAACTAGTAGAATGTGTCTAAATAGGAAACTCTAGTAGAATTGCAACAATAAAGTAAATTAAATTTTGCACAAACTAAATAATGTACATACTACAATAAATAGGATCATCTAACAATTAAAATGGAGAAATTCTAGCTGTAATTTCCTCTATTATCTCTATAATATGGGCTGTTAACAGTCCACTCGAGAACAAAACACTTAACATACCATAAGCCATGATTCCTAGGGCTAAACTTGGTCTAGAATTCATTAAAACAAGTTGCAAAAAACCAATTACTCCATGTACACCACCTTGAAATTGTATGATATGTTTCTTCTCCCATTCAAACCAATTTGAAGGAACACAAACTTCTTCACCCTTTTCCATCATTTCAAGTTCCTTTATTCGCAATCGAAGCACAATCATATCTTCATCCACCATTCCACCACCACCTCCCGAGTCTTGACTTTCCATTCTCTTACACCAAGTAATCATAGTCGTCGAATAAACATGTACATCATGTTGTTTGTTGCTCGTTGTATGTG